GGTAGTGACTAAAATTTGTTGCGAGAGGTTTGTTTGCTAGAAATAACCATTACCTTAGAACATTTCATCACAGAGCATCAGAACCGAACTGTTGATTTAATATGATTTCAGTGCAATTTAAATAAACATAACTTTTTGTTAACAACATAGAGTGCTCAGCTGCAGCATAAATGCAATAGTTATTACATTTATATTAAAGCGCTAGTTCTTTCATTTTTTAACATGTCTCTTATTAATAATCTGAAGATTGTGTATAGCTTTTGTGCATGCGGCCTGAAACATTTTCAATTGATGCATAAAAACTGATCTAAAAAAGCAGGCTCTAATAAAAGGCAGGATAAGGACACTCCACTGCAATGCAATTATTCGTACCAATTATAGACACTAGATTTGCACCACAAATATTGCATGCACAGTGGGTATCATGAGGGGCTCGGCAAAGCGCCAGGAATGTCTATAATAAACTGGGTCATCTCCTGTAAGAATGTTGTTATTACACTTGAGAGGTCAGGGGATAAGCAGGGTTTAACCCTGTGCTCGGCAGAATTGCTGATTCAATTTGCTCACAAGGATTGCGTTTCATTGTGAGTTGATAGTCTTATTTTCTGCTGGAAGAAGCTTCTCTCTGCTTTTCAGACTATGGACAATAGAATTGGTAAATGTAAAGAATTCAGCAAACAATTAATAGTGCTGAGGATGAAGCTGAGCCTCTAATCAGCAAGCAGTGGATCTGAAGAGAGGAAATTGTATGCATAATAGTTGTTATAATGAAGTAAAAATATGAACTGAATTACTGGCTTGTCTTCAGCTATGGAAAGTGTTGTCCTAAATATGAAGCTTTTCGATATTATCTTTTGATATTTTTTTCCTATGCTAACTGATGCATAACCATCAATGTTATGATATTTGTAGGACACTGGATTTTTTTCTCTTGTTTCCTCAGTTCCTCTGATGATACTAAGCATGAGGAAGTTATTAACTAAATGGATGGAAATGATGTTCAGTGTAGAAAGTCTACCCTTTATTTTCTCACGAAAGACATTGGCTTTTGTAAAAGCATTATGTAATTTTTGAGCAGCTTATAATGCATGAGTCAAACTTACATATAATCTTTGTCAAGGGGATGATCCTATAATTGAATGTAGTTTGTGATTTCTCTAAGAAATTCATGAACGGGCATATGGCACGGTCAATTATACAGAGATAGATAGTCTGCATCTCAATTTTGGACAAGCTGAAGTGTTACTTACATGTAGTGAGTGTAAGGGTTGAGGCTGATCCCGTTACGGTGGTGCAGCAAGTGAGAGCGGTGTAAGTAAACGATCTTCTTTGCCCTCTCTGAGATAGCGTAAAGCAGCTCACATTCACAGTGCACGAGTGTGCGGGCAGACAGGTCCTGCGGTTCACTTGATATGCCGTGACCTGCTGCCCTCTTAGCAGCTTCTTTGTGAATCAGAGCCCTTAAATGTCGAGAATCTTTGTTTTGGGGCACTGGTAAAGTTTCAAGTCCAGTAACCTGGTAGGTTCTGTCTTTCATTGCCACAAAGACTGCCCAGCTGTATTACAGTCATTACTTAACGCTGCCAAGACATACCTTTCTGAAGATGGCGCTTTCAGCGTTTCAGGGGCTCAATTCCTACCTGCTTGGCTGTGTTCAATGGGTTACTCAGTGCTGATCTTGGTGGAAAAAAATGGCGAAAATGAGATCCAGACTCCAAAGTAGGAAAGTTCAAGTGGAATGAGAAGTACTAATCGGAGAACACGCGGAGTTTGCTAGGGTGGATTGAGCCTGGCAGCTCATTACAGCTGCTCTCCTCAACCCTGAGGGGGACTTGATTTTTCATACCATCTTCTATTTACATGCTCTTGTTTTTCCCCTCAGTTTTGTTCCTGCTTTCTGCACTCTTTCATGTGGTGTGTGTTGTGGGTTTTTTGTTTTTTCTTTCGTATCAGTTGACTGAAAAAACTTGTTCTCCATTTCCTTCTCTGACCTGCGATCGGTATCAGCGTGATTCATGTGCTGCTGCACGAGCTCTTCAGGAACGAGTGAAAGAATGAAGTACCTGGTGTGGCAGCAACTGCAACAGCAACAAAAAAGCAAAACTACATATTGCTATCTGAAACAGTAGGGATTATTTTTGACAAGAAGGTTGTTGTAAACTAAGTTGTTTCCCCCCCATTTCCAGAGTAAGTGGCTGCAAAAGACTTCTTTGGGAATGAGTTCCTGTAACTGTAAAACATCTACTTTGATCTAAGCTGTTGAGACTGACTCTACAACCCTGGTCTTGTAGCAAAATTATGTAGCAGTTGTGAGGTGAAAACCATTGAATAGTGATTTATCTAATAAGAATTTTATTAAAACATTTGTAGTAGATCATCAGAATTAACATACATCCACCTAAAATGGAATAGATAGACACTGCTTTTTAAAGTAACTTCTTGAAGGCCAGGTGGTTTTGCTGAACACTGCTTTCTCCACTTAAAATTCTTGTATTTAGTAAGTAAAAGCTGAGCAGCCTCTGCACCCTCCCCGCAGTACCACCCCATTGGTAACTCTATCTATAGTCAGTTACTGTCTTTTGTCTGACATGGGATCCATTTGCATAATGCAAATATAGAGCTTTTCTATTAGTGAGTATTCTTGCCCTGTATTCTTTCAGTAGAAGAAGCATTTTCTTAGATAACTGGAAAATCATGTGGCAAGCAGAAATCTGAATCCAGCATCAGCTGTACTTTCTTTGGGTTTTGTTCTAATTTGGTGGTCGCAACGAACTAAGTAAGAGAAGACAATGCTAACCAGGGTTACTCCCTTACATTTGCAGTAATATTAGGCAGATTGCCTTTTGCTTCTCTCATTTCACCGCTCTGCTGGGGAGGGGGAATTTCCACAGCATGTTGTTCCAGGGGGTTTCTTTAAGCTGTGTATATTATACAGGAAGAAATTTTCTATTTTTTTTTCCTGATAAGTGCAGATCGCAGTAAGCTGTGCAAGTGGTGGGTTGTTGCAACAGTGTTGTCAGTGTGAACTCTCCAGAACCAACAGCAAATGCTATTTATTTATGTTTAAAAAACGCTCAGTATACTTCAGAAGGTGAAGTTGCCCTGAGCGTTCAGGAAAGCAGGATAGGCCAGAGTGAGTTGTTTCTCCGTGTAGTTTGAGTGTTGCTATCACACTCCTTTCTGCCTTCCCTTTCCTCAGCGCTTGGCTGCCGCTCCCCTACTGCAGAGCAAGAGCTCTTCCCATCGCTTTCAGAAGTTACAATCTGTTTCCGCAACAGTTATAAAAGGAGATATTGCTGCAGCGATTCAGGAGATAACTATACTTTTGTTCTTTGAAAATGGCTTGTAGGTAGGAGGAGCTCAGGTCAGGCGTACAGGGAGATCCGGCGTCTGCTAAGGGTGAATGGGCATCAGGGATTTAGCTTTGCTCAGCAGGGTGCTCTTGAGGTGAAGTCCACTCACTGCACTTTGCCGCTCATCCTAGAGCGGCCTTGAAATGTGCCAGCTGGATTCCTTTTAGATTAAAATAGACTGCAGCGTGCCGTCCGGGAGTGCATCTCGTGTGCCGTGGCTGCTGATAGCTGCTTGGTGTGCAGGACCAGAGAGCCGCTCCCGGGCAGCGTGCGTGGTGGGCCCGCGGGCTCCCCGCACCGCCTGCCTCGCTCTGCAGGGGAGCTCCTGGGGTCCTGCGCTCCCTGCATGAGATGTCAGCTAATGGATGGGCAGGCTGGAAACAGCTTCTCTGATTCTGTACTTGAATGCATGAAACGATAGCCAAGGCAAAAAATCTGAGTGCTTGGCAGCAGTTAATAATGGACCATATTTGAATACACTTTTTTTTTACTGGACCACCTGGGATGATTTTAAGGAGACAAGGTTTTGATATCCCTATTTTGTATTCATATATTAAGGAGACTCAAGTGCTTTTAACGTTTTGAGAAATAGTAATTTTTAAAAAAAGAAAATTGCAAGGATTACCATATTCTGAAGATTAACAAAAATTAAAATTGGTAACTGTACAAGATTGTCAAATGAGTCTAGTTCTGCAAAATTTCTTTTTACTCCATTTTAAAGTTATTTCATTCTAACTTTTAACAGTTTTTAAATGAGCAAACCCAGATTTCAGATATTGAAGTCATGATTATGTCTTACAATATTCAACTGTTGAAATAATGACAAATTTGGCACATGTGGCTACAACTTATTAGTGCCGACTTTATTGTTGCATTTATGTACTCCTAATAGCAGGAGAGATGACAACATGGGTTGGTATAAAGAAACTGTAGATTTTAGTTAAAATTCTGGGCTAAAAACTTTTAATAAAGCTTGCTACTAGTGAGTGATATTGTATGCCCACAACAGTTCAAGAAGTGGTAGGATGTCTAGGATTTGTTTCTCAGTGGTACTCCTAATATCAGTAATCCACTATTGCATATTTTGATAAATATACACAAAGAGTTAGGGAACTCACAAATAAACAGTGGAACCAATTTAAACTCTGAAGCTTACCAAATAAACATGAAAAGTATTCCCTTTAGGAACTCAGAATCCTTTAAATTATGCATGTATTGTAGTTTGCAGTAAGATAAAAGAACTTTAGGTGGGGGAGGGTGAGAAACTTGAAAAGCCTTAAGGAATAATTTGCATAAATTGGGTGGAGAGAGTAAACAGCACAAGGGGAAAAAAGTTATTTTCAGTAAGGCCTTATAGAATGAGATAAAACAAATTTAAAAAATCAGGTGGAGTTGAAACAAAGCTGAAGTGCTTTAAACTTGCGTTAGCACTGCCACTGCCTTTAAAGCAAATCCCAGGGAACTCCGTACTGCCCTGGATAAAAAAAAACTTAAAAAAAAAAAAATCTTAAGGGAGAGTTAAAAGAGAAGAAAAGCCATGGAGACAGAGTAACATGTGTGTCTTATTGTATGCAAGACCTTTGGGAATTAAATGAACAGCATAAGCAGAATTTTTAAAAATCTAACAGTATTTTTTTTATCTTACAGTTACAGGACCGCACACAATTTAGTGACCGAGACTTAGCTACCCTAAAGAAATACTGGGACAATGGCATGACCAGCCTGGGCTCAGTCTGCAGAGAGAAAATTGAAGCTGTGGCTGCAGAATTAAATGTTGACTGTGAAATAGTGCGGGTAAGAAATCTAAGAGTCTTCCCCTATCTTGTCGCAGAAGCAAAAATAGGACAGATGAAAGCCTTTAAAAATTTCATGAGGAAGCTTGAAATAGATTTCACGTATTACATAATGAATGACCATGTTGGGAAGTGCTCTCTTGCTCTTTCTGCAGTCTATAAATAGAAAAAAGCCCTCAGGTAAGAGTCTTGTTGATCAGCAGCAGGAGTAGCACTACGAGCTATCTGACATTCTCTTTAGACTTGAGTAAGATTTTAAGTAAAAGTGTTACATTTTTTAGGGATATCCTGGAAGACTAAAAAGTGCTATTTATATTGCTATTAAGAATCAAAAAAGCCTTTCTGAAGATACAGGGAAAATATTTCTCATTAATGCTTATAGGAGAAAATCATTGTAAACATATGAAAGAAAATGGTCAAAAATAGGAAAAAAAAAAAACTTTACAAGACTGTCTTGAAGCCTGGTTGAGATGTGATAAGAGGGCAAAGGGTACTGAGAAGAATTCTGGGTCACTTCAATTTGATAGTCCATAGAGGTGTCGTTGAGGAAGGATTGCTTTAGAAAGTACAGGTTTGGTGTAGATAACCTGATTCCTGAGAACCACTCCACATCATCTCTTCCAGAGGTTGGGAAGTTTGGTACAGCATCAGTTGTTGCCACTGTATTCCCAATACCAGACATACATCATCACTCTCAAACTGTGGGTGTCGTTTGCTCAGAGTGTTTCCATTCTTAGAAAATAGTCCGACAGTCTTTGCAGTCAGTGCAAAAACGTGATTAGAGTCTTCCTTTCCCTCCCAGTTGTGACTAGTCCTTTCAGCCTTTGTCCTCTTTTTCCACCTCTTTCGATTCTCAATGTTGCTACAAAAGTGGACCTAGGAGCCCTTATTTGAAATTCTTCTTTTGTGGAGATCTCTCTTGGGTTGGTATATCAAAATGGGACGAAAGTTACTTTCAGTATTGAACACTGATCTGGTTATTTACTTACTTGTTTTCCTGAGCACATGTGAAATATGAAAAAATGAAATTGTAGTTTTGGAGGCTGAAAAGAATTACTCTTTTCTCTGTAGAGAACAAAGCTTCTCCATATTTTCCAAGTTCTTCAGTTCGCTTTCTGAAAGGTGAAGCTGTTTCCACTGACAGCATCTCAAAGTGGACTCCTGGATATGAAATACCTTATTCACAGGACAGTAAGACTGACATTCATGCTTCGCCTCCCTTACTTTGTTCCTTTAAGAACATCCTTATTGGCACACACAGGATGACGGTATGAAGTTCTGTACATGTCTTTCAATAGCATCTGCTTGAAATGCTTTTGTCTTCAGGGCAGATGTACTAGGCTCTGATCAACTCCAGGAGAATCTCTGGCATAACCTATGTTAGAACATAGACACATGAATAAACAAGAAGATTTCTTTTCTTCATAGTAACTGCTGTTGTTACCAGTATCTGTCCTACCTCTGCCTCTGGTTCCTCTATATGGCAGACTTGAGAATTGTAGCAAGAATTAGGTGGAGGTTGGTCCTGCACTATGCTGCACTATTTTTTTTTGTTTGTAAGGGCTGAATTAATGCTACAGGACTTGTCTTCAGTAATTCCTGTTGTCCTTTCTCTAAGGCACATTGTAGGTGTCCCATCTGTAGGACAGGTATTTTCCATCATGTACTCTAGAGGACCTGTCCTAAATTTGTTTTGGGATCTATATAGGCACATCGTATTGTGCCTCCCTCCTTACCTGCCAACCTGCATTTTCTTCAGTAGGAAGCACTGATGTCTGGAGGTCAGTGTGCAGCGTGGTCTCTTTCTCCTAAGGAGTCAGGACATAGCAATGGTGCAGTCAGCTGTAAGGCATGGGCGAACCACAGCATCTCTACCCTATGCTGCATGTTCAGCCAAGAAGAGTTGGACGGAGGGACACTTCTGGAAAAAGCTCTCCACTTTCAATACTTGTACTTTGTTGCCTTTGTATTGCAGTGTACCTTGAATTCTAGGTAGTGTGCAACTAGCAACTGTTTCTCCGTTTGTGATGTAAAAAAAAATAAATGTAGCTTATGTAAAATAGTAGTAAGTATATATATAAAACCAAGTGAATAGATATACATCAAATACACACAACAAATATATATAA